ACAAGGCAGTTACCGCGTAAGATATGACCAATCCAATTAGCCTTCCATTTTCTTATTTCGTGTAGGATATTCCTCTGCTCACTGACTCTAACTAACACTTCTTCATTTCTCACATAATCGGTCCAACTGATCTTCTCCATCCTTCTCTAACACCACATTTCGAAGCTTTCCAGGTGTTTCTGATCTACTGCCCTAAGTGTCCAAGTTTCAGCCCCATACAAAGCAATGCTCCAAATGTAGCATTTCACTAGTCTCTTTCTCAAATTTAAGTCCAATTTGCCGGTAAAAATGCAGCTTTTGCCATGGCAATCCTAGATTTAATTTCACACGTATACCTTCCATCATTATTATTAGTGTAGTTCACGTGCGTGCTGTGAACTACACTACTAATAATAAGAACATAAAATCAAGAGAAATAAACGACATCTCCCACCATCAGGAGGAAAACAACATGACCCAATGTCGGCTGAAGATATTTTAATATAATAACTAATTTTTTTCATGGAAATTTTAATACAATTTTAAATACATTGGGAGGCTACTGTATGGAAAAGTGAACATCATACTGCGTGCAGTGGAAAACCCCAGTCAGAATAACTAGGAAATACACTAAAAGAAACATCATCATAAGTAAATCTACACTTCAAGAAGTGCCATTGTGAGTGTCTAAGACAAACATCAAAACCAACCGTGATAACAAAATTTATATAGAGAGCATTAATCATATCTTAAGTGCATATTGTTAAAATATCTTATGTGACAGTGTTTCCTTATCGTAGTGGTGCGCCTATGAGGATGATTCTTTTGAATCGAAACATGTAAGGTGAATGAGGACTGAAGTGTTGTAAACTCGTATGTCACACTGGACTGAACTTTTCATTTATCTACTATTAAATCACCGTATGACAAAGAAATCAATTGAAAAACCCATAGTAGTTAATACAGGATTTGCCACTATTGTTTGATAACTGGCTTGTGGCAGCCAAGCAAAACTGGACAAACTATTACAAATGTACTATAAGACAATATCAAATAACAAAAGTGAAGTTTTTTATCAATGGAAGGGAAAATATATGAGAAGAGTTCCAAACTGTTATTGATGAAAAGGTTATAGAATAGGTGAATTCCTTTGGACATCTGGGATCTAGCATATCAGAACATGAAATTATGTACCTACAAGAGAATATTCAAAAATATAATCAGATAAATTGAGTTATTAATATACTACACTTCCACATGATACCAGATATACAATTAAGGATACACAATATGCTTTTCAGACCAGCCCTTATGTATGGCAGTGGAGCATGGGTGCTAGGAGTAACACTGAGGGACAAAATGAAATGTGAGGGCATAGGCAGAAAAGAAGAAAAAGAAATTCCCACTGTTAGAAGCTACTACCAAACAATGACTATGTGAAGGCAAAGCAGAGTTGCGAAGACATGTAGTGTGCTGTAACTATTTGTAGTTATGAGTAACAAGCATTCAATAAATTCAAGATTCAATACAAACCATTTTTCAAGTCACTAACATGTAACAATATTATTACAATCCTGTGGGAAGACATGACCTGGGACAATTCAGGAAGAGACAGAGAACAGTTGAATTAGCCTCAGAATGTGACTTGGCTCAATCCTTGCCACAGTAGATTAAGAATAAAGCTTAGTTTACATAAGGCATTTACATGGCATTTCATGTACTCCATAATCCACATCCCAGTTTTTGTAGAAATATCATATAGGAGACTTTCACTAAACGTTGTTGAAAATTACGAATGTCCACTACACTGATCTACAATAAAGCCTAGTTTACAAATTGTCATAAATGGACTTTCCACGCCTCCCATAAACCATTCACAGATGCTGCTAAAGCTTGATATGGAAGACTTCCACAAAATATTATTGGGCAATTCTGATTTTCAGCTACAATGAATCATAATAAAGCCTAGTTTGCATAAGGCCATTAACAAGATTTTCTATGTACCCCATAAACCCTCCCACAGATGTTGCTGAAATTAGATATGGGACTCCTTTTCTAATTTCCAATTCACTTTCCCCATTTTTTTTAGTAAGCTTAATAAACATCAAAGGGTTCTGTAATTCTGTATGTTACAATACAAAACACACTCTTTCCAACTGTGTTTGTGTATTTGTGTGTGTGTGTGTAAGAGTCACCATGGCCGGTCACGGTAGCCTAGCGGTCTAAGGCATGTACTGTCTTCGCTCGCTTGGAAACCGGGATCGTGGGTTCGAATCCCACTAAGGGCATGGATGTTTAGTTTGTGTGTGTGCGTTTTTCTGTGTTTGTGTACAGGTAGAGGCCTTGCGACAAGCTGATCACCCACCCAAGGAGTCCTACCGAATGTGTAAGATCTAGAAAAACCGAAGTGAACGGGGAGTTCATGGAGGTAGGCCTAGGCCTACTGGGGCTGTAGTGCAAAGGAAAAAAAAGTCACCGCACTTCACATATTTGCTCCATTACTCTCTTCAGAAAGATAAAAAGAAATTCCTGCTCTATTGGGCCCTCTTTACAAGAGTGTAGGGAGTCAACATGTATCTATTCATCCTTCCCTCTGAAGAAAAAAAAACAGCCAACTTCTAAGGTGTGATAATTACAAAAGAAACTTTAGGATGTTGGAAAAAGTGCAACAGAATAATCATAAACGCAGAATTATTACTCTGGATGCAGATATAATATAATTATCCTTGTCATGGTCAAGCTGGCAATGCAGTCACCACTGAACACTTTCTACACTTGTTAAAAAGTATTCAGAGCATTCTGATATATATAATTTCATTTTAGTGGAAGTTGAGTCCTACCATGATATAATTCAAGAAGCTAAAAAGGGAACACTGAAGCATTGGTTATTTATCAGTGGCCGCCATTCTGAGTGGACCCACCTGGACTCGACCCCCCACTAAGCGAAAACTGGTTATTTTGGAAAGAAAGTGACCACCTGATCATTAGGCTGATTTGGCTGCCTAGTTGTCAGCATACAAGTAAAAAGTAAAATTATACCTGTGCATAATTAATTAAGTACTATGCCATGAAGACATATGGGAGATCAGAGGTAGAGCTCCACCATTCTTGACCTCAGCACTAGATGGAGATGAGTGGTCAGCTTCACGCTCCTGCCACTTTACCCCCAAGAAAAGAAGCCCTGGTACCCACTGGACGGGAGGCTGGGTGGGCCCCAGAGTCAGTCTTAGCATACAAGTACAGTATTAAAAAGCTTTTGGGTCTGAACCCAAATGCTCTCACTAATACAGAAAATAAAATAACCAAGTATGTCTATAAATATAATGAGAATCATTCACCAGAAGATAATGGGTATTTAATATACCTCTGATAATGGTAACCATAATTACAATCTCCTGAATGAGAGAACAGAAGTATAGAATTCTACTTTCAGTTATAGCAAATGAAGTCATTCCTGTGCCTAAGCTCCATGTCATGATTGCATTGGTGACAGTCACTGTTAGATTGCTGCTTCACTCCCATAACATCTATGAATGGAGGACTGTGAGGGCCTAGAGCCTTTCTGGATATAACAACAGAGCAAAATCGCAATGGCACTGCCACCAGGAATATTATAAATGAAAAACAAACTCTTCTGTGATAAACTAAAACCAATGTAAAATTTTGTTACGTACCATATTTATACACTTGTAATAAAAAGTATTCCAAGCAACAGGATCTGCAGACCTATAGGATTGTGTGATGTCAAGGCTCCCACATTTTCCAGACAATCAGCCTTATGCCGTGGCTGACCTTTACCTTCAGAAAGATTCCCTGATACTCATTTCTGTCCCCAGGGCCACAGTGCGCCTGGAAGGATTAGATCAATTGCAAAATCCAATTATATCAGGAATCGAACCCGCAACCTTCCAGCTTGTAACATAGCAACTCAAGTATTTTTTACTAATATTTTCATCTAAAGAAAAACAGGGAGTTGCCATATGTTTCAAATTAAGAAAATGCCAAAAAATATAAAATGATTTGACATTTTCTGGGAATACTGATTAATAAACTGTTAGCTTTTCATTACCATTACTGCCATAATTATACACAACTTACTAATACTACATTTATGGAGCCATTAGATCACCACCAATTGTTCTCCTCCAGCAGTACATTTAGTAATGATGTAACATATATCACATACAATTTCATATTTTCAACATCTCTCTCTTCTAGCAAGAATGATGATGCTGGAATTGGAGTTATAGTTTTTGAAACAACATGCTCATGTTAAATGCTTTATGGATATGCAAGTCTTTTAGATTCTGAATGCGTATAGATCTTTCAAGGCAACTATCATGAATTTATTTATTTCAGGAGTTATATTTTTGAAACATTTATTGTAATTATGCCTATTACAAGGAAAAATACAGTTTTAACAAATCGCATGACATGGTGGAAGACTGTGTTGAAGAAAAAGGGGTTTGTGCTAGAAGATTCCTTCAGTCTCAAAAACTGCACACAATCAGTTTTGAATTAATGATATCAGGAATGCCAAAGAGACTAACAGCAGTGTGATAACAAGAAATAACAGCATTTGTAAGATCAACATGAAACAATGACAAGTGGACAAAGAAAAATTCCTCCATGCTCACTGCATCATAAGCTTTTCCCTTGGAAAGGGACATGGACATATTGCTGTTTGCCACTTCTGGTTTTGTACACAATGTTAACTGCGTAAGGTTTAGGTACAGAACACACACACACACACACACATATATATATATATATATATATATATATTTTAATATACACTTTACAAGTGTATGGAGAGAGGGGGCAGAGAGCCACACACACTG